AGGGATCCCCAGATCCTATGGGATTGCTCCACAGTGCCTATAGAAATCATGGGTGCTCACTGTTCTTACCTTGTTAGCCTGGATTTTGCCTCTGAACAGCCAAAGAGTGCTAGTTCAGCTTCTGAGGGTATATTCTTCCCCAAATACTTTTGAGGATCAAAACTATTTCTACCCAAAATGTACATTCCTCGGGACACAGCCAGAAGAGGAGTGTGAGAGAGCCATCATGCGACCTGCACCTGTCACATAAATATCCTCTGATGTACTTACATATGTTGAATGTACTGTAGTTTTGGAGTAATGAAGTCAATGTTTGAGGAATTTTTAATTTTGTTCAAATGTTAAATGCTACAGTCTTTTTGTATGCAATTATTTGTTGTCTTATGACATAGATTGTTATTATCAAGATAATTATCTCTTCAATTGGAAAATGATTAGGTGTGAAAAACTACACGTAGTGAAGATCTGTCTCCCCTAAGGTTTTATTGGGACTTACAGTACAGGGCAGTGTAAAGGAGTGGTTAAGGCATTCTTCTCTTAATTAAAGGGTTGGGGTTCAAATCCCCTTTCAGGACACAGATGTTGTATTGTAGAGCGAAGGTACTTTACTCTGACTGCTCCAGTCCATGCAGGAGGATTGATAGGGCATGGATTGCTTAGGGTAACTCCACTACAGAACGGGGTGGCATCCCAGTTTAAACTCCCAGTCCCCTTGTCTTTAAAGAAATAGAATAACTTCCAACCTGGTGCGTTGCAGTGCTTTTTTATTCAATTCAACTTTATTGCCATTAAACTTACACAGGTGCATAGTATAATGAAAAGTGTTTCTCATTAGTCACTCAGGTGCAGTATATAAATAGGACAGAAGAAAAGACAATAGACAGTTATACAATAGCAATAACAGTAATATGTAATAACATAACATAAATAACATGTAATCAAGTAATCAAAACTGCAAAATTCCGCAAACAGAGAAAATATAACAGGACAAAAACAGTGCAAGGTAATTCTTGGAACAGTGCAAAAATAGTATGGTTAATTAATAAATATTAAATATTATTATGCCTGTTACAGTTTTACTGGGCTATCGAGGGAACAGTACAATTTTGGCTTACATGTGTGTGTGGTGGTGTAGGAGTACAGTAGTTGTGGGTACAGGAGGATGTTAGGAGAGATCATAATATGGTGGGAGGGAGTGGGGGCATCACCAACTTGACAGCTCTGGGGAAGAAGCTGTTTTGGAGTCTAGTTGTGTGCGACTGGAGTGACCGGAACCTTCTGCCAGATGGTAGGGGAACAAACAATTTAGGACTGGGATGAGTGGGGTCAGACGTAATTTTGGTGGCTTTTTTCAGACTTCTTTTATTGACAATAACTCGGACACAAAGTCAGTGTTTTGAGTGCAGCATTTTCCACATTAGGTGTCTTCACACTCATAGGAACAAGCTACAACCTAACACAATAATGAGCTTGTTCTGATCTGTGACTATTATGGATACATTTTAATGATTTTTCTGTGACAAAAATATTCCTAGCATTCAAGACCTTGTTTAGCTTTTTAGTGATACAATCTTGAAATGACATAAAGCCTGATAATTCGTCTGTTGTGTCCATTCATGGCCTTTTCTTAGGGTGTTTCCAGAAGTGTCTATTTTGGCTTCATAGGGAAGATATTTGGAAAGGTTGGCAAAAGGAAAGGGGTCCAGACAAGGAAATATAAAGATACAGCTACATGAAACAAGGTCCAAATTAAATACAATGAACATTCCAGACCATATAAAGGAGAAAATAAGTTTCAAACCTCTGCCTCAGCCTGTGTGTTTAAGCATTCAAGTTCAAAATATATTTTTAATAGTCTTAAAATTTACTGCTCATTACACTCTTCAGTTTTAATGAACTTTTTACACATTTTGATAGTTTTCTAAGAGTAAGCACTGTCTTTTTAGGATAGTTTAATCTTCTTGAGATTGATGTCTGCTATAAGGCATAAGAAAGTAAAAAATGAGAGGAGGCTGTACTGTCCATGTACTGTAGGTCGTTTGGTTGTTAGTAGCTATTTGATGTAAGGATCTTATCCAGTTGTTTCTGGCAAAACATGGCCTAGATCATCAGAGCCAATATTTATTGACTCCTATTTCTGTGAGCCTTACCTGTAATGAGTTAAAAATACTCATTCTGCACTCCTGAGAATGTTTGACATTTCCTACTAGTACTGCTTCATTCTCCCAAAGGATGATGTAACAACATAGGTGAGGAATGAAAAATAAATAAAAATCTCTTTTTCCAGGCCAGACATGTACCACAGCTTAACTGAACAGAGAACCAATGGTGCAGCATGGAATTTCAGGATATTGAGCTAAAAGACTTTTCACATCAGGCCATTCAGCCCTCAGAAAACTAAATTTGGTGTTCTATTAACTTTCATGAGAAAATTTAGAAAGCTTATTTTGTCCAATAATTTAAAATGTTTGTAGACAAAAACAATTCCTGATCACCTTATAATGTTCATAGTATAACTTCAAATCAGTTGCCGCTGTATGATTTGTTTTACAGTATCATCACTAAGGATGGTCTTCATTTAGAGTCAGTTTTGCATACAGTGCCTTTAAAAGATCTTTAAAAGCTTCAGAATCCTTTGCCTTTTTATAAAGCTTTTTAAATGTAAGCAGATATGTTAGATGAAATAATAGTGTCAAAGAAACAATATAAAATTGCTTTTTGTAAAAGGCATATTAACACAATTATATACAGACATAGTCTAATTTTGCTTCCTTGGTTTTGGGGGAGGAGTCCACTGAATTCTGGCTCTCCATGAGCTGGGTTGATTTGTACAGAATTGCTCGAGGTTAATGGTGTTGGCTGTGTTTTTAATTTTCTGAATCTCAATGACCGTTGGCATCAGCTCTGCTACTCTGCCCTGACAGGGGAATGGAAGGTTGCCAAAGCCATTTCATTCAAGGTGGAACAGATGCTGTCACGGTGCTTTTTCTTTCACTCTGTTGCTAACGGCGTGTGACAGTAATTACCGATGCACAAGACGAATATTAAGAATATGGGGAATTATGTGTAATAAACATGCCAGAGCCAAACAATGAATAACGTCACATTGGGCAGAACATGAAGACATTCCAGGAGAGCTATTAAAGCATTCCATGGAGCAGAGAGCTCTATTTTAGGCCTGTCACACACACAGACATAATGGCGGAGGACAGTCTGGTATGGCAAGTGCATGTGCCCTGTGTTTGAGTGACTTGCTAAATAGAGTGCCTATTACAGTACATGCATTAACAAACTGGCAGTGATTACGTTAAGTAATTGCATTTAAAAAAGGAACCAGAAAAGGAGTCTTGTTAGATGTTACTGCAGTGTTGTAATTGGACCACAGCGTGCAGCACTATTAACAGGAATACTGTATACTGTCCAACATTGCTCTAACACAGAAGCATGCAGAACAGTTCTGCAGGAAATAAAGGCATAGATAAATGCAGCTTCTTAACTATTGGAATTCAGTTTTCACCTCTTTAGCACAGTGCTTGAGAAAACGGTTCAGCACATTCACCGAGTGAGTGAACACTTTAACCGTTCTACAGATCCACTGTAGCAATGTTGTTTTCTCTTTAATGCGGTGTGATTTCTGTTCCGCCTCCTTGCAGACGTCCAGGATCACCCGCTCGGACGAGGAACGGGACACGGGCTGGGACGCGTGGGGATCCTGGAGCGACTGCTCTCGAACCTGTGGCGGCGGAGCATCCTACTCACTGCGGAGATGTCTGAATGGCGGGTCAGTGGAGGCTCTTTGTTGCTTAGAAGATGCTGTACTGTATTATACTCTTACAGATGTGATTAAGTCCTTTTAGTCAGCGCTAATACTTCCTCTTAATTCTTAACAGGCCTTTTTGTAGGTGGAGCAAACTGGCATTGCGAGGTTGTCCTAAGCCCATAAGTAAAGCTGTCAAACACTTGCTTGTGATCTTTGTGCCACTGTCTATTCAGGGACCTTTTCATCCTGGAGTTCTGTACATCCTGACAAATTAAAATTTTAACACAACTTATTGACACTAGAATAGAGGAGAGAGAGATGACTTTTGAGAAGAGCTCCATTTTGTCCACTGTGCTCTACATTTAGTGTCTTACTGAGCCTGGAATCTCATTCATATGTTCCTGATGGATCCTGGTGAGCCTGTTTCCAAAATATGGCTACATAGTTTGTTCCAAGTTATTCCACGCTACTTTGTGTGCAGAACCACCTCCTACCTTCACCACTCCTGCTCTTGCTCAATTACTGACACAGCAAGATCACATGCAGCAGGAATGGGAACATGTGAAACTCTAAAACATGGAAAAGTGGTTGAACTAAATTAATCCAGTAACTGCTGAGGCTCACTGTTGGCTGCCTTCTGTTTCGTCTGTTTACTAAGGTCAGGGCTATGGTTGCAGAGGTTAAGTACCTCTTGAGAATCAGCTTTTATATCAGAGTCGTACTTAAATGAAAACATGATGTATATTTTCATCACACTGGGTGTCATTATGAAAGTATGTCAATTGTGGGTACAATGTGTTTTTTTAAAGAAAATCACAAGTTTTGTAGGCAAGCTGTACATATTGCAGTGTTGTTTTTCCATGTGAAACTGTGACATTGCGGAGAAGGTTTTAGTGTAAGAACACCAGCTGTTTTATCTTTTAGGACTTAGGGTGGGTCATTTGCACAGTCTTTCATTCTAGATTAGAAAAAATATTCTGCAGAGCAGAGAGGAGTGAGTTGGGCGTTGTCTTCATATTTTACTACACTGGCACCCTAAAGGAAAATCCATAGGCGATTCTGCTAAAATTCCAAAAACTCTGTTGAAGAGGGGTCTACAGTACAACAGTTATACAGATCACATACATTTATATTTGAAAGAAAGAACAGATCAAATCTAGTTGTGTTTTTTTTATCAAAATTCTATATTTTTATTGTAACCATATGCAACTCCTGACATTTTATTTTACCAGGACAGTTACATTTTAATATTTCAGAACAGTACATTCCATTGTAATGAGGTTATTTCAGTAGTGAAACTTTTATAAATCCATTATTGAGTGTAACTCAATCTGCAAATCAAGTAAGCAATGCTTAAGTCTGAAAAATGTAGTTCATAAAGATACAATGTATAATATTACTGCACAGTTTTATTGAAAGGCTTCAAAGTGATAAGGTGTTTTTTATAAAGTGCAAGAAACAAAACTTCCGATGATATCCTTCATTGTCTTTGAATGTTGAATTCTTTGGCAATGTGATTAATTGAAAACAGGCACAACAATCATAGAATGGCATGCATACTTCTTTGTCTTCTTTCCATGGTATTTATATGCTTATTTATTTATTTATTCATTTACTGTATTCATTTATTTGGTCATTCCCATATAAATGAATAAATGTAGCTGGAGTATTTACTTGCATTTCTTGTCCAATTTTTATCTGTGTAACACATAATTTGCTACATTTTCCCAGTGATAGAATTTTAATCACAGCATCATACATATAATCAAAACCAGTCAAAGCCTGTTAACAATAAAATTGCAGTCAGACTCAAAATGACCGAGTTGTAATAATGACAGTCTGATTACATACTGTACATAGTTTGAATTTTGAAAAGATACAGTATGTGACAGGAGCTGTCTTTCTGTAATTTGCTTCGATGAGCCCTTGACTTAGAGTCCATAAATGGACTGAAGATTTAGAGTTCATGACCCATCAACCAGTCAAATGACCAAAACAGTTCTGCTCCCTTTTTGCACAGCCAGCAGAGGCCAGCTGGGACTCAGCCAGAGAAACATTCAGACCAGTCAGCCAGAGAACCAGTCAGAATGGTCAGTCCAGTCGGTCAGACATCTGGTCTGCTAGAGAACCTGTCACTTCAGTCAGTCAGGGAACCAGTCAGTCCAGTCAGTTTGACAACTGGTCAGTCCAATCAGCCAGACAACTGGTCAGCCAGAGGGTCTGACACTCCACTCAGCCAGAGCACTAGTCAGTCCAGTCACTCAGACAACCAGTCAGCCAGAGAATCAGTACCATTGGTTTGAGAACCAGTCAGTCCAGTCAGCTAGACTCCTTTCAGACAGGCATGACGCACATGGGGGTCAGAGCTGGATACTGATAATGTCATCATGTCATCTTCGTCACAGTTGATCTGTGCTGAGTCAGAAACATTCACACTGTCATTAAAAGTTTACAGACACTGTAAACATTGCTTGTTCACAGACTAAAGCACTTATTCAGGTGAAGTCCTGTAGAAAAGACAATGGATCTGGTTTTATGGTAGAGTAATCACATATGTAAATAGTAAAGGTCTGAAAGGAAAAAGAGGAGATAGGCTTTGTTCAAATTTGATTTCTTCTGCAGTTTGTATAATAAAGGGTCTTGAGATAAAATTCACATAATGTCTTAGTTCAGTTTTTCTTGGAACCTAGTCCTGTGTGCCTATTGCCTTGTCTTTTCTGGATTTGTGTCGAAGTTTCTTTGGCTCCTGTGAGCTTTAATTCTTCTGAAGTGAATAGCCCTCCATCAAGAAGATAATTCAGCAAACAAAAACCATGCTCATCATGTCACTATTTTAGTCAGATAAGCTTTGCCCGTAAGCCAGTCATTTTTTAATTCTTTCCTTAATTGAGTCATACAGTAAGTGGGCAACAAAACTTTGAGCTCAAGATAAGAGGGGCATAATAGTGATCACATTGTATTTCACGGTTCCTGTTGATGTTCCTTAGTGTGGATGAAAATTTTATACATATCTTTGAATTAATTGCTTCATTTATTTTTACTTTTTTGAGTATTTGTTATAAGACCTATTGCACAATTACAGTACATTTAATTTACATACAGTGTAATAAATATATACTGTATAAAATATGGAATGAATTAAAAAAACATGAAAAACAAAAAAGGTAATGCGACATATAAATTAATTTCTAGGTAGTTTTATATTTTTTGAAAACTACTATAATTTCTAATTCTATAATAATATACAGAAATAAACATTTTTATAATAAACTTTGTTTATTTGTAACTGGTCAAATTTGCTATAACATTTGCAAAATTAGTCCAAAGCCTTTGAAAATCCAGTTTACCTTCCATTTTGTATGTGGATTTCTCCAAACTAAAATGATCTGTTACTGTCTTAATCCAAAGTGCAAACAAAGGATATTCCTAATTTTTAAGTGTACCAAGATATTTTTTTGGCTAACACTAAAAAAGTAAAATTAGTTTTAATTTAATAGATACCAATCTGCAATCAGAGAAGTCACCAATTAAATGAGACTTCATTTGTAGGATACTGTGAGGTAATGAGAGGTGGCTTTGTGAGAAAGCCATCATCATGCCTCAAAACTCAAGGCCTGTAGTATGGCCTTGAGCCAAGATGACTGCCTTTTAATTGGAAAATTGGAGGGAAATTTCACGTGAAAGAAATTAGCTTTCAGGAAAGGTTCTGTGCGGAACTAGTCACGCCTCTGGGCTTATTATAAGACCAGCTGGGAGGAAAAGGGTTCTAGTCTTTGTTTATGTTCCAATCTGGAAAAAGGAGAGTGAGAGCTCATTTGCAACAAATTGAGTTGTTAAAGCTCGGTGAGCTAGAGAGAAATTACAGTTTCAGAAAGTGGGGACTTGCTTGGCAAGGTAGTAGTGTACCTTCTCTTCAGAGCCATGTGAGAGGAGTCTAGAGGGCACAGGCTGAGTCTGTCAGTAGGCTGAGTCCATCAGATGGCAGATGGGTGGTCTTGGAGAGTGTGAAGTTAGGGAAAATGAATCAGCTGCTGCTGCATCAGGGACAAAAGTGTTTGTTACAGAGAGGCCAAACAGAATCTGGCCAAACAGGATCAGCCAAATAGCTGGTGATCTTACATGTTACTCATTGTGGAAGATCATCTTGTGTTTACCCAGGAGTATACTTCAAGCACAAGGTGAGAGGGGCATAGGGGCATATTTGTAAGAACATTTTCAATTAAGAGTTGCATTAAAGGGACTTTAGTGACAACTGTGAATGGTTAATCTGATTGAATACATTAGTGCCTGATTAGAGAAATTTAAGGAATTTGCAATATGGAGTTAATAAGCTTGAATATTTCAGTGCCTGGTGATTTAATGAAGACTGAGAGACAAGAGTTAGTGTGATGATCTAGTGACTTGTGTGAGTAGTACGAAGTGAAGAGAAACCTGGGAGGAGAAGGACTGTTCAGCTTTCCATGAAAGGGAAACAATGTGAAAGAGCAAGGATCAAATAGGCTGTGGTGCCATGTGTGCCAGTGATTGTATTTTGGTTGTTTTTTTTTCTTAGAGTCAAAAGAAGGAGATATTTCTGGCATTATTTCTGAATTCTCTGTTATTGGATGTCTGAGAGCTTACATTGCTTTACTGTCACACCAACTGGGCAATGTGCTACAAACTAAGATACTGTGGCATTGCGTGGGGTGTGTTCAGTGTGGAGGCGGAGCCCTTGTCTAAGGGTGGCACATTGCCTTGACACCCACAGCTGGGGTGGTTAATTTTGGATTAGAACTGTGGGAGCCATTTAAGAACACACTGAACACCTCCCCGGAGACCAGCTAGCAGGACGTAGTCCTGAGTTAGTTGCAGCTGAGAGAAGACGAATTCAGGGTTGCAACAGACCCCCGAAAGGAGAGAATATTACAGCGACAGTCTTGGAGGGCATTGTGAAGAAAGAGTGTAAAGCCGTCTTTTTTCCCTCTCCTATCCCGCCGTGTATCCTCAGAGGGACAGGCTAAGTTTTAAGCCTAGATCTCTTTTTACTCCAGTCTGGACCCAGCTAAAATGGGAAAAAATAGTCTGGATCCTGCTGTTCCCAGGAGATAATTTTTCCCCAGGTTGGACCCGGCTAAATAGGGACAGTACATCCTGGATGCCTCTGTTCCATGAGGTGTATTTTTCTTTTTCCTTTTCTCCTTTTTTTTGTTTCTCTCTTTTTGCTGACCTCACACTGGGGCTTCTGCCCCCCCAGACGAGGCATTGGCATTTACCCGTGATTGCCATGGCTCCTCCCAAAAACCTGCATTGTTACACTGTAAATGTGCATTTTAACCAAATAACATAAACGCAGTGTAGACCTGAAACTAGAGGAAACAAGCAGTCAAGAATCTTTGGAGGCTAACTTGAAGAGTAAAAAGTTAACAGTAGTTGCAGGCTCTAAACTACCTAATGCAGACATGGATATAAATGTGATGTATGTATAGTGTACTCCATATTTTTTCTTACCTGATGTAATGGGAACACAATACTGTACATGCCATTGTATAATATCTTGAATAACATTAAAAATGTTATACTGTAATGATATTGAACTGTACAAAGTCACATTTGTCCTAACTGAATTCCAGAAAAGATGGCTCACTTTTATTCACACCTCAAAGTATTTCCTTAAAAAATCCTAAATAAACAAATCTGCAATTACATTCTGATTTGGAATCACATTAACACATTCCAGATGAGCAAACATATAAACATGGTGATATAAACATGGATTGATATGGGGAAAACAATCTTCTGTGGAAGGAAGAGACGTGGACAAAATCATGGCAGTGTTTGACACATGCCGTGAAATTTAACATTAAGAAGTTCGAAGTGATTCACACTGGTATTAGGAAAATGCACGCAAATGGGATGGGGTGTTTGTTAGTTTTTTCAGTGTCCTCATCAACAAATGTGGGGAAGTCAAAATACAACCGAATGCTTGAATCTACAGAAAAATGTGTGGAAAATTGAGGAAAGTTATGCTCAAACTAAAAAATGAGTAACCATGACCTCAGTTAGAACTCTGTCATAAAAAATAATATTATAGATACATTTCTAAGAAGAGTGGCAGGAAGGATTCTTGGTCTCAGGGAATTGTTATATGCAGACAGGTTAAGGGTGCTAAATCCCTTCCTTCTAGAATAGAAACAATTGAGAAGACATTTCATTCATGTATATAAGAACCTAAGGGATAAACTGTAATGTTAATACAGGGAACTATTTCTCATTCAGTAGCAAAACAGAAACAAAGGATCAGGAACGCAAAGGAATTCATTTTAGACAGCAAATACGAAACCTTCTTTACAGAAAGATGTGGGAATTATGGGTGTGGGTGTCAGATTGTGGGGACCAGGCTTCCCTGTTTCTAGGGCTGAGGCCCTGAAATTCAGTGTTCTTTTAAGAAACAGCTGGACATAATTTAAGGTTCGTTCATATGGAAGCCCGGTTGGAGCCAGTGCAGTGAGGCATGAAGTAGGGTGGGAGCGGCGAGGGCACAAGGCCTAGAACCTGTATCCGTTACAATAACAAAAGGACAGACAATGAAATATGGGCTATTTCGAAGTCGCAAATGTGAGACAAAAAGTTGCAATTGTGAGATATAAAGACGGAATTCTAAATTACTAAGTCGGAATTCTGAGATCCAAAGTCGCAATTCTGAGATACTAAGTCGCAATTCTGAGATACCATAGTACGTTTTTTTTTTACTCCCTGGTGGAAATGGGCTTCCATACATTCAGCTACCGAACTACTAAGTGAGCAAGATGGACCAAATGGCCCCTCTCATTTGTAGCCACTCTTATGTTCTTAAAGGAAAGCGTGTATGTACTGTATTACTGTAAGTATCCCTATAGGAGTCCCTTTCTGTGTTTGTCTAAATAAGTGGAACATATACTGGATCTTTTCCAATCATGCATTTTACCGGGGCTGTAATCAACTCAGCACAGGAACTAAACAATCGGACTTAAGGTCCATTTGTCGATATAGTTATTTTAGTTGATTTGACAATACCAGAGATCTCCAGCTGTCTCTTTTCTGTTTGCTGGTTTTAGCTCAGTAGGTGGTTAAGTTTGTGTTCAGTCTCATTAAGCTCAAAGCAGGTGAAGTCCAGTTCAGGGCTGACAGGTGAAACAGTGCCTAACGTTATTAGATATGAAATAACTGTCAGGATTTATTTGTCAGGGTTTATCTTTGTCTGGAAAAACATGTTCAGTTACAGAATATAATCTTTTGTGAATAGACTTTGACAAAAAGGATTATGCTTAAATGTGTTTATTATTTAAAAATATATCCTATTGATTTAGGGAATCCCTTTTGCTGGTGTATTTTTATGCTACTCTGTATCTACAGTAATACGGTATATTACAGTTTTCATTTCACCTGGAATTGCAGGTTCAAATTCAAAACAAACAAGATGCAGGACTCAATCAAGGATGCAACATTTTGTTATGTCTTGTTCTTTACCTTTGCCAGGATTTAACTGAATCTCTCAAAATAAGAATGAATGTTCTTCTTCTTTTCACAGGAGCTGTGAAGGTAAAAATATCAGGTACAGAACATGCAGCAACATGGTAAGTCAAGTCCAGATGTTCTTAAGACATTACAATTGATTATTATGGAACAGGTTTGAGTCAGATGTGATGTTTCCTCGTGGGTAAAACTACATATTAAATACCAGATCCTACTGGCTTTACCATTCATCTCTGTGGAGAATGGTGATATAAACATAGATTGATATAGAGAAAACAATCTTCTCTGGGAGGAAAAAGACTGTCTTGAAATTGTTTAGAGAACCTCTGAGAATTCTAACCACAGAAAATATGGAATAGTCATCTAGAGGGAAAATAAGTCTTCCTGTTTGACCTCTCTTACAATGGATAACTTTCTACTGATGTTGCGTAACCTCAGGCACATTCAGTATGTTTGTGGTTTAACATATGACCTCTGACGATTAAAAACTGTGAGTTTAACACCCTCACAGGTAGTTTACCATTACAGCTCTGTTTTTATTAGGCAGAAGATCTTTACGTGATACAGCAGGAATGTTCTGAACTGTCATTCATAATTTTACTGATTACCATATGGTAAAGCAACATCTTTTATTTTCTTTTTTTGTACAGAGATAGGAAGGTGGCCTGCAAATGTCATCTCCATTGTATAATCGATCTTCACAAAGCTTGTATTGAAGAGGTCTACCACAATACTCATGCCATTTTAATCAGAAGAAGTGTTATTTTTACCATTGAAGTGGTTTCATCTGGATCTGTTATAGACTAGCAATGATTTTAATCACATCTAGCGGGAAGTGGTCCCAACATAATATTTATGACATTTCAGTTAAGAAGATGAACTAGAAGATTTAGGGCAAGGAGCAGAGGTTTGTCTGGGTTTATAACTGGCAGTGAAGGAGTCTGCGTTGCGGCTTAGCTGATTTTATGGCAGGCAGTTTGCTATTTTTAAAACAATTTTGAGTCAAAAATGAGAATGTGTCCCTGAGCAGGAGACTAACTGTACGTAAGTCAAAGAAAAAATCAAATTCAGCACTGATCAGTACTCATGTAAACAACAGTGAGGGCATTAACAGCAGAAGAGAAAGCGGGCTCTATGTACTGTAGACTATTAGGATGATCAGACCAGATGTCCTGCCGAGAAACATTGTCATATGGCACACATACAGTACAGAGAAGGGCCTCCCATGCAATTTACAGAGCAATAACAGAAGGATCTGGACAACATATAAAGCAGTTCAGAACTGACAGGAGGCATTTTATTATGTTTTTTTTTCTCTCACGTCCTTATATGCTCTTAAGCTAAAAACGGGAAATGGTATATCTGAAGTGAAAGTTGCTTTGAAATCCATCTTCTAGATCTAAACATGGAGTGTTTGAACATTAAATTCCCTCAGTTTGATTTTTTTCTTAGTTGTGTTACTATTATTTGGTACTGATGATAATACTACTACTAATAGGTGTTGTAAAGAAAAAATAACCTGCAGTGCTTTTAATGAAATGTGTTTGCTTTAGAGTAAAAAAATCACTCATTTATTTGATTAATGCTTTTATCCAAAGTGACTGACATTCACACCCGATTATGCAGTTGTGTGTTTTAACCTCAAAAAATTTGGGGTTTAAGTACCTTGCTCCAAGTGTCTCACTTGGGATTTGAATGCATAACCATCCAGTAATGAGTTCAGGACCCTATGCACTGCTGCACAGTGCCACCCTTAATTAAACAGGAATAGAAGAAAGTTTACAAACAAAAGAAGATGATTCGGACCACCTGACCCATTTGGTAGAAAGCAGCTTATTTTTTGTATGTCATGGTATCCAAATATTATTTTTATTATTTATTCAAATATGTGAGAATAAAATCGATCAGGGTGCATTCTTGCAACCTCAGCTGGTATTCCTGCAAGTGTAATCACCTACAATTTGAAAAAAAAATGATATTACAACCACTCTTGCAGGACAGACATGTTTCCTACAACCGTATCTTCTGTTTGAGTCTGTGACCATGTTGTCAAGGTTGTTTAACATTTTCTTTGTGCACTATATTGTGTGTGGGCATCTTACTAATTGCTGCATGTCCTTTTCAGGAATGCCCAGAAGAGTCTGGAGACTTCAGGGCTCAGCAGTGCTCCGCACATAATGATATAAAATACCAGGGCAGTACATATGAGTGGATCCCAGTGTCCAATGACCCCACTTCCCCTTGTGCCCTGAAGTGCCAAGCCAAAGGGAAGAACTTCGTGGTGGAGTTGGCGCCCAAAGTGCTGGATGGCACGCGCTGCAAAACCGACTCCCTGGATATGTGCATCAATGGCGTCTGCCAGGTAACTACAGATCGAATGAATGAACGCTTCTCGGGCAGAGGGAGTGTAGAGTGGAGTAGACATTAGGGTTTCAGTCGCCATAGGGTCCTGGATTCCACTCGCTATATGGGCTGACATTGTAGTCTTCAGCACAGTGATTTAACCAGATTGGTACAGGTGTATATTGAGATATAATACTGGAATGATGCTAGCGGCCCAACTCTGGTGAGTGCTGTGCTGTCAGCTCGCATGATGCTACAGAACCCAAGCACTGGAGTATGATCCTTTTAGGCTCATGAAGGACTCCATTCGCCCATTCACACATCTTTCCTCTCATCCATCTATTCATCCTTAGATCACATCACATTAACCGCTTATGCCATTCAAGATTGCGGAGGCCTGGAGCCTATCCTAGGAAGGGCTGGGCACAAAGCGGCATCCGCTGTGGATGGAGATGACAGTCCATCACCGGGAACACACAAACACTCAAACAACGGCCAATTTTCCCAGAAGCCGATGAACCTACCAGTATATCGTTGGACTGTAATAGGAAACCAGAGAACCTGGAAGAAAGCCACATGAACATGGGAAGAACATACAATCTCTACGCAGATAGCACCCTAGGTCCAGAATTGACCCCAGGCTCCCAGTGCTGAGAGATTAGATTAGATTAGATAACACTTTATTGATCCCGAAGGGAAATTGATGTGTTACAGCCATCCAGCCCAAGACAAGCAAAAAGAGACATCAGAATAGACTAAAAATTATACAAAATAAATATAAACTAAATAATAAAAATAAATACATAGGTGTGTGCAAAATATGATGATCATAGTCACTGTAAAAAAAACAATAGAATATGTGCAAAATGTGCATAGGTTTATACAGATTGATTGTCCAAAAAGTATAATGGAGCAACATGCTGTCCATAGACGAGCAAATGAAGGGCTAACAGTCCTAGCCTAGGGCAGCGTTATACACCCTGACAGCCGCCGGAAGGAAAGACCTGCGGAAACGTTCCCCTTGAACACCGTAGCTGGAGCAGTCTGTTGCTCCGCTGCCCAGTAACAGTCCCATGAAGCGGATGAGAGGTGTTGTTCATAATGGCTGTGAGCTTGGTCAGCATTCTCCTCTCAGCCACCACCTCCAGGGGGTCAAGGCTCAACCCCAACACAGAGCCAGCCTTCTTGATGTTTATTGAGCCTATTTGCATCTCTTGTCATGATGCTGCTGCCCCAGCACACAACAGCGTAAAAGATAGCTGCTGCCACCACTGATTCATAAAAAATGTGTAGCAGTGTTCCACACACGCCAAAGGACCTGAGTCTCCTAAGAAAATAGAGTCGGCTCTGACTTTTCTTTTACAGGGCGTCAGTGTTACCAGACCACTCCAGCTTATCATCCAGGTGTACCCCTAAGTACCTGTAGGACTGCACCCCCTCTATGTCCTCACCCTGGATGGAAACAGTGTTCAGCGGAGACTTATTCCTTTGAAAGGCAGCGATGCCAACCACTGCGCCACCATGTTGCCCATCTACCCTTCACCATGGTCACAGACCATTACCCAATCCCATTTTAAAGTGTCCGTGTTGTAAAATTGTTGTAAAGTGGTACCAGATCCCTCTTACGTCCCCTTCTTGTCTTGCCTTGAAAGTCTTGAAATCACCTAAGAGAACTTGTTGTGAATTGTCTCTCTTTAGATTATACATTTGAAAAAAAGGCTTAGCTAAAGCTACATGGATTCGACATGGAGACATAAAAATGCCTTTTTTCAATCAGGGGAACATTTGTGTTTCCTCACAGAGGGAGATTGATATGCGGTATCATAGCAGATTAGATTTTAAAGAGTGAGTTTCTACTACACAAATGGAAAAAGGTCTGTGTAATTTAATAGACATACGTGTACCTATTTATTTTCATAAAGTGCTGCCGATTCATATGAAACCTTTGAAAGGCCTATTTCTGGCATGGCAGTTAAAGTGCCGTGTGGTAGATGCAGTGCAGAATACATTGCACTGGGAATACAAGGGTGTGTTCATTGTAGAGCAGTCCTGGACCTAATCCATTTTGAGAGGGGTTGTACAAGTGCACAGCAGCTTTTCCAATAGTCTTGTTAGATTTCAAAGAACATGTGACACAGAAAAGACAATGTCAATGTCGATAATGACACTGCACATCTGACGCTTACCACTCATTGAGTGATCTTCTTGTATGTCTTTTCATGCTTGTTTTATTTTTAGATTTCTTTACTATTTGAAGCTATTTGAACCTATTGTGCTTTCATTCAACCTGGTGGTCACAGCACTTTTACTACAGGTTATTTTGCCAGGTAATTTATTCTTGTTCTTGTTCTTATTGTCGATTCTAGCTTTTTGTTCCCCTAGCTTACAGAAAGTCCTGCAAGGCATTGTCATAGTCAATCCAGAGGACCTTTATCGAAGAGGAAATTAAATTAGGACTGCAGTACCTCTTTACATGCAGGCTAGAGGGAGCTCTGGAACAGCCTGACTAGTCAACAAAATGAGCCCAATGGCCTCCATCCTTTTCTAACCATTTTTAAGTTCTTAGGTTTCCTCAAGGGAAAGTCTTAAAAATGTTTTATGGTCTGTTTTAGCTCCCAGTGTTTAGAGGCATAGTTTCCTCAATATAAATTAGCAGTGTTATAAAGTAACTTCTCAGAAGCATGAGCTTCCTCACTGTGTCAGTCTTTGTTACAGCAGCTGAATTCTTTGATGTCTAAGTAAACTGGCCGGTGTCCACTATAGTAACTTTTTATACGGTTACGTATGGAGTCAAACATCAGTCAGCAATTGGGAAGCCTCAACATGAAACATAAATGAGTAGGTAATGAAATGTAATAAAACGACAATGTGTTTCAAGGCGATTTAATCTTACATGAGATGCTTTCTCCAGATTTTGTTTTAAAGTTATTGCTCAAAGCAATGGCAAAATTACAGATTCCTTCATGTTTATGCTGAAAATTGTTTCTTATTTAATTTTTTTTATCCATGCAATAATATTAGTGCCTGTCTTCATTAATAGTATAAGAGCAGGAGATGTGAATACTGAAAGACAGGGCAGAGCTTGGACTATAGGTTGCTGTGTTGTGGTATAATAGATTTAAAGTTTCAGTCTCTCACAGTGGGGAGGCGCAAACATTCTTGCAGAAACATTTAGGAAATCAGGCTAAACCTTCCTTAAATGTGAGCTGTTGTAGCTTGAAACTCTGTATAGTCATAGTGATAGAATCCCATCTTTTGCTGCATTTGCTAAAAACATCATACCACTGCCTGTATCTCCTTCAACAGCAGATTGCCTTTTTTGGAGAAGACTAACCCTTTGCTCTGCTAGGTCACACATCAGAATGATGACCCCTCTGCACAGCCACAAGTGACCCTAGTCCAGACAATTTGCTGGTTGACAGCTTGCTTAACATCTGATCCCTGGGGTTTGGGATTAATGACTGTCGTTGTGTGACTAGCAAAGATAGCCTACAAAGTTCTTGAGTGCAAGTTATTTATAGCAGATACCCACATTAAACTGGCTTGCAATGCACCACTGTTAAAGAAGAATGCAAGCCAGTGGCTGAGAGGAATTCTGCCCTAATCCAGAATGAGGCAGTGTCAATTTTCCATTTAAAATTAACACTTTGTTTTCTACATGCAAAGAGCCAGAGTTATGTTTTTTAATTAGAAACAAATTTGCAACATGGAAAAGGCTTTAATACAAAAAGATAGATTTCCAAAGCATTGTGTAAACTGGTGACCATGTGGTGGCTGCTTGAGTCTAATGGAATCTGTGGGCAAACAACAATGGTGTGAGTGGTTTTATTGAAGTTATTTTAATCCCAGTATTTTTTTAAATTGCCCTTTTCAGTTGGGAGTGCTGCATATCAGAAAATAACAGGGTTTTTTTCAACACAGGAACCAGATATTAAGGCATGCTAATGCTAACAAAAAATCAGTTTTCTTTCACAGACTTTACCATTTTTTACGGTATTTATCCTTTCAAATTATGTTTCTAATTGCTACTTAGAAAAGCAACTAGAAAGGCAAATTAATCACAAATTAACACATAATTATAACGATTATAGTCCCTCCTCCTTAAGGGTGCTCCAGCCCTTTCACTTCAGACTTAATTCTGTGCACCTGACCCCTGTTCCCAGCCCACCTTAAAAGCTAGGCGCTGACGTTCATCCGGGCTCTGCATCTGGTTTCCGCACCGCGCGAGTCCGGGACCTGGAAGCGCCTGGTCCCATTGAGGTTGTAACCTCTGTTCCTGTTCCTGTTCCTTGTCCGCTGGTTCCGACCCAGTTTGTGTTTTTAATTCCTTGTTTGAATGGATCACCTGGCTATGGACTTTCTTGTGTTTTTGGATTCCCTCTATGGATTACTTTTGGATTGTTTGCCTCGGCCACATCTTCCTCGTGCACCAGCGCACTTTGGATACGCCCCCCTGTTTTCATCCCCGTATTCCTGCATGACTTTTTCCTAGTGTTTCCCCACTTCTTCGAATTGTCGTCTGCGTAGGGTCCGGAAAGAACTGTTCGTTACAATAATCTTACGTGCCATTGATACCTTTTAAAAGAACAATGCGCTCTTGCTTCCCTGAATCATGGAATGGCTACAGTTATCTATCATCTGCCCCAGGTCCTATTTTTAATCTTATTGCTTTGCTTAAATATGGTAAAACAAGCTGCAACAAACTTCAAATTATCCTATCAAAATTTATGATTGCTGAGAAATGATCTTGAGGTACATTCTGTACTGAGATTAAACATCAAAATGTATAAACTATACAGTCCTTACCAGAGTCATGGGGGCTCATTAGGACAGTGCCCACCCTGGTTTCTGTAGTGTTAAGATGACTAGAGAGTAAGTGACTCCCCCTCTGTATGGGACACCAGTCCATCACAGAGATTCCCCCAAGCAGTCCTCTTCCCTAGTTATACAGTTGGGTGGACTGGAGCCACTGAGGTAAAGTATCTCACTCAAGGTACAGCAGCAGTGTCTGCAGCAGGA